CGATTGAGGTACTATCAGAACTGAATCCAACTATCCTGTCAAATCTGCACACAGTAGAGTTGCGAGGAAACAATCTAAAGTCTACAGCTGGAATCTACCTGCCCAAACTCAAAAACTTGTACTTGGTAAGGGGACTTATCCCCAAACAGCCTTTTCACTATATATCAAACTAGACATGGTAATTGTGTACATAATTATACCACATAATATATAGTTATAGAGGCTACAGAGACGCCTGAGAAACTCTGATGATGTGAAAGGTAGGGCATGCAAATGAAAATCTTCCCTTTTTTGCCTTTTTAAAATAAATTTATCCAGGTTTTCCTTGCAATACATATAGCAGCTTCAAAGACACAGTTTATGCCTGATTGTGGCAGGTGAATTTGGTTAAACAGAAGATATGTTAAATTGCATAGTCTGATCTTTGTATTTCAAAGTGGATATGATTTCAATCATTAACATGTAGAATTACAGTCCAATGTTAGTGCACAATTTCCCAAGCTTGACTCCAATTTCTGTTGATGTACTGTAATGATTTTACAAAGAACTCCAGAGATCTGGGTTCAGATTCCCATTCTAGTTCCCATAAAGTCTACTGAATGAGGCAGCCACATTCTCAGCAGTCTAACAGTGTTATAGTGAGGATAAAAAAAGAGTGGGAGGACAGAAATCATGCTGGGCTCCTTGAAGAAAGAAACAGCATAATTTTGAAATTAAATTAACAATAACAACAAAATGCCAGTGTTAAAATTGATCACTGGGGAATATAAAGGAGAGGGAACATTAGTGTTGACTCGATTTTGTGACACATTGTGCCAAGAATGTGATTGTGCTCTTGCATATTTATTCATCTTAGACAATATCTTTATTACACTTGAGATCACAATAGAATGCAAACTATCAAGATATTCGTGACCCTTAATCAGGCAAATGTAACAAAAAGATTTATAGGAGACAGAGGCAAATGCTGACTTGATTCTGAAGCCATAGAATCTATAAGTAGTGATGCCTAACCTTTTCTGCACCAAGTGCCCAAAGCATGTGCACAATCCCAAAATGCAATGTGTGTGTGCCCTGTGCATTGTCCCTCCCCCCTGCATATGCGGCACAACTCCTTTGCGTGCCCTGCCCCCCCATGCATGCGTGGCAGAGACTTAAAGACCAGCTGGCTGGTGGGATGTGCATGCGTGCATGCACTAGGACAATGGCACATGTGCCTAGAGAGGGTTCTGTATGCCACCTCTAGCATGCGTGCCAGAGATTCACCATCATGGATCTATAAAGTTTAGATTTTTCTCAATTTTCTCCTAAACTGTTGTAAAGCCCAAGTAAGGCTTGGAAAATGATATCCCTAACATTAATTAGTTGCAAACACATGACTGGTTTATAAGGTCTCTTATTCCTCATTATTGGGTGACTGTACTTTCAATTTAACTCTGATATTCTGTTCTCTACAGCATACCCTACAATACCCTCTTTTTTTAGGCTCAGAATACTATTAGTCAGCTAGAGGACTTAGAAAATCTGGAGCAACTCACAACTCTACACCTGCGTGACAATCTAATTGAAGTGTTGGATGGTTTCTCAAGCAACATGAAATCTCTTCAGTACCTCAACCTACGGTGTGTGAGCTTCTGTATCAAATATCAAAGTCGCCTTGGAAATAAAGAGAATAATATGAGAAGTTATGTTTAAACCAAGTCTTCCTGATAAATATCAATTTTTAGTTTTTTTAAAAAGCACTATAACATTACTCCTATTGGCTGCATTAGAGCACAGTAACAGGGACAACATTACATGGCTGTGGTAAAATTATTGGATACAAAGTGGGGAGAATGGATTCTAGTTTATAGTCACATTCATTCCCACTGGATTTTGAATTAAAAAATATGAGGGAACTTTATATATGCCAGCCCCACCCTCGCCCCCAAACAAGGTACAAAATGAGGCAAAGGCACAGAAGAGGCATCTGAATTATATAGCATTTATAAAAAACAATAAATGACATCTTTTGTTCAAAAGGAAATGTTAAGGTCAATGGAAATTAAAAGACTTACTTGCAACTATGGGAACTCCCATTTTGCATCTTAAAATATATTCACAGCATGTTCCCATTAGTGACTTCTAAAATCTTCCTAGCATCACTCAAACATAATTGAGGCAATATAAAGCTTGCTCTCAATATAATTACATCAGTACAATGATTATTCAGTGATTGTAGACAATACTACAGCTCACTAGTAGGATCTGATATAAGGTACCCTGATATAAAGATGTTAGATTTATAGAAAATATATAGTAGCGGCCAACAGACTTTTAAAGCTTCTAAGACATTTACTCTATCTGAATAGTGTGGTTTGTAATTTAAACAGTTGCAGTTTACAATCATTAATTCCTACTGATCCCAACTGGCCCTAAGGTGATGATTATTTTTATCGTTGTTGATATTATTAATAACTTAGATTTAAATGTCCTGTGCCAAGAATAGCTTATTATGACCATAGCTTAATGGGAAGATTCTGACCCCAGATGTCTTACAAAAGTAAATGATTGTACAAGTAAAGTAGGCCGGCAAAGGAAACATTTAAAATTCAGAAAAACTCCTTTTTTAAATATGCCATTTATTCTTCCCATTTCCTTCTGAAATTTATTGTTTTCTTTAAATGATTATTTTCCTAATAAGGGTATATTGTAAGGCAGATATCTCTTTCCCATTTCTGCAGGGGAAATACAATTGCACAAGTACAGGAGTTGGAAAAGCTGCAAGTGCTGCCCATGTTACGAGCCCTGGTCTTGTTAGAAAATCCTTGTTCTGATGAATCAGAATACCGTCTAGAAGCCCTGGTCCTGCTCCCAAACCTGGAGCGCCTTGATAAAGATTTCTTTGAGGAAGAAGAGCGCAATGAAGCTGCAGATATACGTCAAAGGCGAAAGGAAGAAGAGTTAGAGTTACAGAAAGAAAGAGAGAGAGAGAAGGAGCTTGAAGTGAGACAAGCAAAAATATATTTTTTTCTGATTAGAGGGATACAAAATATAAAAGAGCCAGCCCTTTTGTCTTTTGTTACAATTGCCTTAGAAGTTTTTCTTTTAAGTCTATAGACGTGCCACATATGGATCATAATTGAGAGTGGGCACGGGCAGACTATATTATAAGCACTGGAGGGAGATGAATTCTATATGGATAATAAAGTTCCTTGTCAAGGTTGTTAAACTATTTTGTGCAGTTGCTTAGTCTTGAAAGATGCAACTGGATAGCTCTCATTAACTATAATACATTTTATATTACCTTAATCCTTAATCCTTAACAGTATTCCATTATAGCATAAATTTGTTGCAATACAAATCTATTTTAATTGAAAGCCTACATTTGATGAAGGAGATATAGCCCACAAAAGCTTAATTTCATAATAAATTGTTTACAGTGATCTTTAAAATTCTACAGCGTATGTTATATTTTTATGCAGCATATTGTTATGACTTTCCTTTGGAAATTTGTAAACAAATGCAAAGTTGGCAGAGGCACAGGAAGAGAAAAATAACATCTAATTTAAAGAAATACAAATATAATGGAATCAAAAGATTCTGTTGTTGCATGGATAAAATTCTGGATTCTGCAATGTCACTATCTCTAAATGAGCCTTTGGAAAACAGAATAAATCATTCCATAACAAGAGTTGATGGAACTGAAAGGAAGTAGCAGATTGTGCTGTCTATACAATATAGCACAAGATTTACAGATGCAATTTTAAAAAAAAAAGCACCAGAAGCAAACAGACATTACTGGGAAACCACTGAAAAAAAAAACCCTGATAATGTCATTTTATAAAACGATGGTGCAGCCACACTGAGCAGAGGATCTAATACCGGTATCTATAAGGAAGGTATTGAGAATCTTACTAAGAGAAGATACTACAGAAGTAAACAAGGATGTGGGTTGAGTACAAGGAATCAATAAAGGTGATAAACAGTAGCTCAAAATAAAATATGTGCAAGGAGATTCTTGAGCAAAGACTATATAACTGAATATCAAATGCATGAATATATGGACATTGTCCCTACCTTACAAAACTTTGAAATTGTACTAAGACAAATGAGTAGGAAACAGTTTGATTATTCCATTATTCCAACAGTATGTACACCCCTGATGTATAGATGAGTAAAATCATACCTGCTTAAAATAAAGGTACTTCATTGTTTATTGTTTGTAAAATCCACAATATGCCTAGAATTGTACAAAAATAAAAGGCAAATAATTCACTGAGGGTGCCTTCTTGCAGTGGAATATCCAGATTAATAGGAGCTGATACTCTTGCTACTTCCAACAGAATTTGCCAAGGAGAGCGTCTCTGAAGATTATGTTGTTCCTATCTACTATCTGGGCTATTATGATGATAGTCATGGAAAATAACTTGCCTCTGATGCAGCCTGTATACTTAGAATATCCCTGATGCTTTGCCATTCTAACATCCTCATTTGGAAATACTCTGAGGCTGTTCTTTTTCCTCATATTTTTCAGGAAGCAGAAGACACCACTCATGAAGACTTAACAACTGAATGACAAGTATATGAAAGTCCCCAGAAAGAAGTAAGAGCTGTAAGCCACCTTCCAGAGTCATTTTCCATGGGTTGTACAGCTCTGACCCAGTTAGCACTAATCTTGGCATGTTAGAACAGAACAGTATTGTATCGTTCCTGGATGGAACCATAGTGGATAGCATTTGCAGATGGTTGTCTGTTCTTTCAAATATGTTGTGATTGAAGCATTTCAATAAAAAAAAAAAAGAGTCTGGTGAAGCCAGGCAAAGCATGTTGCTTTTGGCATCCCATTTCTGCAGCACTATTTCCCCCTCCCTTCCCGAGTCGCTCCATCCTCTACGTGCTGTTTGCAAAGCTCCCTAGAAATCCTGACTCATCGTCGGCTCTAGGTCACATGCTGCCATCCTGGCCCTATCAGGGGCGGCACTATCCCACCACTGCTGCTGTTGCTGCTCATCCACCTACTGGCTCAGAGGATACAGAAGCTTCCCTTCAAGTCCTGCATCTTTCAGCTCACCATCTAACTCCTCTTAGCAGCACTGCACTAGGAGGGTAAGTGCCATCCCCTATCTCCCCTGCTCCCCCACTCCCAGTGACTTAACTGTGGTTCTCAGCATTTACCTTTTTAAGATTACTCCCTTAAGCATTACAAATATTGTCTTTGCCACTCTGAATCTTTTTTTTTTTTCATGTGAGCTTTCTAACACATGACCTTCTGAGCTTTCTGTCTCACCTTTGGTGGCTGCAGATTCCTCTCTCTGGGTATTGTGTTTGTGATACCCGATCAGAACTGTAGAGTTGAGAGTTGGGGACAAAAAAAGTGATGCATTTTAACAGAGATGTGCAGGGAACCTGACAAGCCTTTTTTACCCTAGGGCTCAAGCTGAGCTTTCCCATTATCATCAGCTATAGGCAAGTACATGGTGCCATTGCAGACTGTACCACAACTATGAGTGACACAGATATATTGGACACCTGTATTCCACTTTGGGATCCTGGAAGGAAAGCAATGGCAGCCTGATAATCTCTTATTGCACCATCTTAAGATGAGGGTGTGCTTTCCATCTTTTTGCTGGCATCTGGGAAAATAAAGATGTGGATGGGTTTCATGTGACCAGTGCCTTATCTGAAAGCCTGGAGCTGCAGTCCATGCAGACATAACAACATTCAAACAGCTTCCCGTGGCTTCCTTGGGCTCCTCAACTGTGTCTCCCACCCTGGCCAATCCTTATCCCTGCTTATCTGAGCCTGACCTCCTTTCAGAACCAAATTGCTCCTGGTGCCTCTGATTTTTCTTACTGCTGGTTTGGAAAGTACTTGTGCGGGAGAATGGAAAGAGAGATGGTGGAAAGAACTGAAGAATGAGGACCACAGTGACTGGGGGATTGGGGAAACAGCTTGAATAAATCCATCTTTTCTGAACCTAGGAGTCTTTGAAGGATGGGGTCAAAACAGAAGATACAAACCAATAAAATGTTCTAACCTCAATCAGTACTGGAATAACTCAAGTGTATCAATAGGGCTGATGAACGGAGAATTCTAGATTGCTTACACTTTGGACTCTGCCAAAGAAATGCTGAAACTAATGGAATCCTCAATATGGATGCCAATCAATACATGACAGAACGTAGAGAAGAAATAAATAATCTTCTGATACTTGAACAGAGAAATTTCTGAGCTCCTAGTTGAATCTTGCTATCTCAGCGTGACAGTCTGGAATAACAGGTCAGAATGTTGGGTGGGAGGGAAATATATACTTTCAGGAGCCAGAAAATTCCAGCCTTAATGACTGACACTTAAAGGCCCTGGGGGCTTTTCTTGCAAAGTGACTGCTATTTTTATGGATTAAAATGGATAGGAGAGAAGAAGTCTTAATTCTGCCACAGTTTATACAGTTTATATAGCCACAGTTTATGTGGCTTAGTATTTTCATTTGCCCGTTCTGGGTCAGCCTTCATCTCCAGTCTCATAGGTCTCTCTCTCTCTCCTAGATCTATTGTGGTTTTCATTCCGCTCTGTATCTGGCATCTGCATCACGGTGGTGCAGGTAGAGGAATGTCCATAAATATCTTCCTGATGACACTAAAGGGCAATATGGCTTCATCATTCTTATCTTCCTTTCAGATTATAATCATACATATATATATAGGACACGAAGGAAGGAAGCTGAATTTTGAATTCTTTTCTGGATTTGCCCACTTTTAGGACTTTTGATAAGAATGAGTAGACCCCCTGCTTTCATGCCAATGAAGCAACTGACTGTTTCTTTCTCTGAATACTTCAGTTGTACCCTTGACATCTTTATGTTCAGAATATTAGAGGTGGTCGAAGACACATAACACAATCTAACAGGAGAGTAAGAGTACACCCCTCTGTGAGACCTGGATTGGAGCCGTGGAAGAATTATGTGAGAGGTGCTCTGAGATTCATGAAGGAATTGTAGTTTTTACAATAAATATGTGGCTGTTTTAGGCATGAGTGTTGCTCTGTGTGATCACTGTATCTCTGGTCAAAAACCCATCTTTCATCTATAACGTGTAAGTTGTTCAGATAAAATGTAAATAGCATGAGTGGTAAAGAGTCTTTTTAATTAAAAATATGAACACGTCCAGCAAGGAAAAATTAAAAATTTCTTTCTAGTAAGGCACTAATCCTGAGGAGTTGCTTAGCTCTACTAGTAATTCATTTGTACATACTGTATTTGTGTATGTTAACTGCATTTGGCTTCCCCGGGGAGCTGAGAGAATAGTGGAATGTGTATAGATCTGAGATATAAAAGCAGTTAAGTTCAGTATGTCTTACTTCAAAATAAGTGTAATTAAAATTGCAACCTGAAATGGTTAAAGGAGGAAGCTGTGCTTCGTAGCAAACAAATACATGCACTGAAAATTAGTCGTTATATTCTTCATCTCCCCAGTGAAACTGCACATGCTAGGACAGGCAGAATTGAGTTTTTATCAGAGGCAAAAATGTGAATATCTTGTCTCGTCTGTGAATGCAGAAAAAAGGGGAAATGCACACACGTAACTAGAATTCATTTAAGAAAATAACTTTTTCCCCTACTGTTCTGATTCTTAAATTGTAAAGCAACAGTTCAAAACATGTAAATTTGCTTCTTGTAAATCTCAGAATTTAGGAATAACATTTACAGAGCTAGAAGAAGAACCAAATGTCTCAACTTGTAAACATGCTGGATGATGAACTATTATTCTTGGTATAGGATTTGGGTTCCCTGGAAAGATTTCAATCCTTGCAAAGAGCACATGCTCTGTTAAATGATGGTAACACACACACACACACAACCACTTTGGATGCTACACAATAATGGCATTATCTGGAAAGACCATTGTTACTTCCACATCATTGCAATCAAGAAGTGTGAACAGTATACACTCAAACTAAAGCCATTAAAGAACTATAAAACAAGATATAGGAAAGTATTAATGTTGTCTTGCAAGGATATTTCCATATAAGGCTTTAAAACTGCTTAGATGGAAAGGTAGCCAAACTTACAGTCTCCTGCTACTGTCTAGTGGTGGGTACCCATCTTGAAGATGGGTGGTCTACCAGATGAAAAGGGAGACCAACATAGGGGTCCTTATCAAGAAGTGCAGAGATCTGGAGTTTCTTGCAGACAACCAGAAGATTTCAAATTTCTTTTGGGCCAGAGGTGAGCTGAGAATAATTGGGTTTTTAGTTTTAATTATAGGTAAATTTATTTATACTTAAATTTAGTTTTATGCCACATGAATAGCATATAACATAGTTGTTAATATAATAGAGCAAACCTGTGGTGGATTAACAGTACCAAAAAGTGAATCCAATTTGAGCCATAAGAAAGTCCTAAGTCATGGGAAAGTCCTAATCAAATTCCATGTAGTAAACTGTCCTACTTTCCTTATGGCATAGCTCTTCTTTATTTTAATAGGATTTGAACAGGTGACCATCCTAAATAGATTCTGCCATGAAGTCCAAATCTGGATTTTCCCTCTCTAATCCTCTGTGATATACAGTATGTCATTACTTTTGCCTAGTGCCATCTGTGATACATTGGTCATGCCTCATACAGCATAATGCACCTTCATTTGTGTACAGCTAGAGTCCAAATATTTATTAACAAGGAATTTTGACAAAGAATCTGCAACTACTTCATCAAAATACAATTTCTATAATTGTTTGGAGAAACCACCATACCCAAATAGCTGTTCTTCAGCTACTAGGGAACACGAACTGCAGGATACTGTTATATTCACATACTACGCTAAGGCCTCCCACAAGCATATAGCTGGTTACCGAGAAAATAAAGAACTGGACTTGATAGGCTGAAGATGTGGTACAGCACAGCCATATTAGCTTTTAAACTAGTTTAAAATTTGCTTGGGTTCTATTATATATTTGCCATCAGTTTTAACGTATTTCTCTTTCTTTGGTAGCAAAGGGAAATACTTTGTGTTTTTTTTAAATATTTTTTTTATTTTTACTATATAAAGAAAGAGCAACAGTTTCAATGTCTATATAAACAGTGTGTTGTCTGGTTACAGTTAATTTGAGCAATCATCATCATGTTCATTAGTAGTTTCTCCACATATTAATACTTAATTGTTAATACTAAATCATATTAAAAATAAACATATAGTGAACCCGAACCCTCATGGTAAAATTAATCCTTCTCTTATAATTTTAAATGTTCTAACTTCTATTTCTGTTAGTTAACCATTGATAAAACAAATCTCATGTTTTAAAATATTCTGTATTTTCCTTTTCTTTAATTTCAAGTGTTAATATATCTGTTTCTGCACATTCTATTATTTTTTGTTATCTTTTCTTCTGTAGGGATCTCCACACCTTTCCAATGTTGTGTAAATATAATTCTGGTTGCTGTTAACACATGTAATATTAAATACATAGTCTATTATATTTTTCTGGCAAAGGGAAATACTTTGGAAGGCAAATTTTCCCATTACAGAGAATTTATTGTGCTTTTTCAAGTTTGGGTTACAAGTGGAACGTATCTTATCCATAGTATCAACCTCTGGCATAAGACCTTAAGAACCAATTGGCATGTGATTTAAGCAATTCATGTCTAAATTTACAGCATCATTTTCCAAAGAAAGTTGTAGGATTGGAGTGGAATAGAAATAGGATCAAAGCAAGAGAAAATAAATTATTTTTAAAGCCTTCTGATTCTTGAATTCAAGTAAATCAAACCTCTTCATTTTCAACTGCCTATTCTCTTTTTGGGATGATATAAAAGAAAGCACATTTAACTAACATAATAATATCTGGAAACATTAACTGCACAGTATGTGATGAAGTAGGTACTAGTCATTTGGGCAGACAGCTAGGTCTCTGGTCTTTTCCCGCCCTTGAGTCAAAATACTATCCACCAAATACTATCCCTCCTCATGTCAAGCAGAATATTAGCATGACATGCTAATATTTCAATGCTTTCTCCATTGTCAATCCCCATTCTACCTTTGCATCTGTTACTGCCAGTTACCTGATTGCCCTGCAAAGTGACAAACCTAACAGAATTCATAGGCTTGAGGCTTCTTTTGGTGATGTCAGAAAAAAGTAAGAAATCCTACATTAGCACCATGAATACTAAAGACAACTTAAATTTGCCCCAGGAGATGGAGCAAGATGAAGTCAATGCTATTGGACCTAGCAGAAAAATAGATGTTGAGAATACCTGTACACCATGGTCAGAAGCAGAGATAAATGCCCTCTGAAGAAAACACAACAGGGAATTGAGGAAAAAGCAGATGTCTCTCTCTTTTTTTTCCTTCCTTCCTTCCTTCCTTCCTCCTTCCTTCCTTCCTTCCTTCCTTCCTATGCCAAGGACAATATGGTATACCTGCATCATTTCCATAGCAAAAACCAAACTCTCAAAGTTGACAATTACATCTTATTCCACTGCAGCTAAAGGCAGAAGTTTACCATAATTTAAGAAGTGGAAGGCACATTGAATGACATCCAGCTGTTTGTCTCTTGATATTGAACTGCCATGAAACAGTTCCTTTTCCCATAGCCAGCAGTAGAGCTGGCTCTGTAAATGCCGAGGCAACATCTTGTCCCCTATAAGACATTCTGATCCATTTGGAGAGTTCAGGCCTCTGCCTTACTGCTATGAGACTGCAAATTGTTGTAAGACTGCAGCCCACTGAACAGGTGGTTACATATTATGAAGAAAAGACATTGGAGGCCAGGCCAGAAAAAAATAGGGCGCATTATCTGAAGTGCCTCTTTGTTGTGTTACTTTTCTCCCAAGGGTACAGGCAGTTGTCCCCACCACACCTCCAAAAAAAAGTGTAATTACTTCCAAGCCTATATAAAATGTCTTTCTCTTTGAAGAAATTGCTCCAGTCAAAGATAATGCTACAAATTTGTGCCGTATCTGTGCCATATCGTTGACTGCCTATCCTAAGTGGAGGAGCCCCTCCCAAGTCCTGGACTACCAGGAAAGAGACAGAGTCTTTCATTTGTGTTCCCAAGGATGCAACTTCAGTGGGTCTGTTCAATGCCAGGAACAAACCCCTGAATAGGAAGAACAGAGAGCATTTTTCTCCCAGAGAGTCCTTAAATAGAAGAATGAAAGAAAGGACTTCTGGCTGAGAGGGTCTTATTACCAGAAAAGCAAATGACTTGCTATAGCTTTTCCTACCAAATCAGATGGTAGGCAGTGAGAGTGTTCTACTTGGACTGGCTGACTCATCTGCACAGCAGCTGCAAGATTGTGAGATACGCCTTCAGCCTAAATGCACCTCAGAAAATTGCACCAGCTACTTTTAAGAGCCAGGGCTGTATGTCATATTTGTATTCACAATGTAAGACTTTTATAGCATTGCCAACCACCACCCCATTTTATCCTTTACACTCTTTGCACTGTTTGTTTTGCACTGTTCCTATTTCTAGCTGCGGAGCTTTTTGATGGGGACAGGGATGTGAAAGATCATAAGATGAACGTTTTAAAGCTCACTCTCTGTTTTCCATTCTCTTCTTGGGCTTTCTATCTTTATTCTCCCCTAGGAAATCCCATTTCCACAATGTCCATTGAGGAGATTCGTGCCCGGGAAATCCTAGATTCTCGTGGGAATCCAACTGTCGAGGTGGACTTGTATACCTCAAAAGGTACAAACTGACAAGGAAGAAGCAGTTTGTATCTTCTTCTGCAGCCCATGCACTGAACTAATGTAGTTGTTCTACTGAAAGGAAATGAGCTGGAAAGGTCAGGTGTTACCAACCCCAGATGACAGAAGGATTGAACAGTATTTTCTTTTTCCTCCCATCTCTATCAAATGCCTCACTGAAAATCTGAGCAGTAGTTTTAGCTGTGCTCACTTATTAATTCCCACTACTAGAGCCAATAGAGTAAGGAAAGGAAAATTCCTGCAATAGCGGGAAGGTATGAAGCAAAAAAGTGATAAAATAAGAATTCTTACATTTATATACATACTTAGACCTCTGAAATTGATCTGAAATTCATGGTTTTCATACTTGAAAGTTAGAAGAAATCGTGGTATTTCTTCTTTGGCAAGAAGCTAATTTTGATGCTCAGGCCAGCCCATGTACCCATCAGACTTGGCCAGCAGACAACAAGCCTACTCTAGTTTTTATTCAGGCCCAATGGGAATGATTTCTGTTGGAGGATTCTTATTAATCAAAAGGCAAAACGATGTAAATGATGGGAAAACATAAAAAAGTAGGAGGATACTATTTATACTTCCAGGGAATTCAATGGGCTTCCAATCAAAAGTTCATGAACATGAGAACAGTGATGGTGTAAAAACCTTACCTGGAAGTAAATCGATGCAATTTTCTGCCTCTATATGGCATAAAGCCCATCACATAAAGTTCCACCATTCATCCAGAGAAAAAGAAGCAGAGATTATTTAGAACAAAGGTAAGTAGTGTGGGGATATAAAACTTAAGTAGTAATTTCATCCATTTCTCTTGTAGTAAATTAGTGTGTTGTGACTAAGCATAATCAACTAGGCAGCCATTTTGTGAATGGGTACACCTTCCACAGCAGCCATTTTGTGACAGTGCCCATAACATGCCCATAAATTCAGATGTGTCTAGAACGTCAGAGACTGCCAATACCTAAGCTGGAGATAAATACAAGAAACAGAAATACCTGAAATAGATATCTATAGTCACACAAAAATGTTAACTATTAGAGAATTTAGAAAAGAAGGTATAAAATAAAACCTGAAAGAAACCAGGACTAAAAGCTGATCTTTCACCCTTTGGTGTTTTGGTGCTTCAAAGCTGGGGCAAGGAAAAAGAGACCCAAGGCAGAGCATGCAGATTGCAAGAGCTCTTTGTTAGCAGAGGATCATCCTGATCCCAAATCTTATTGAACTCCAGGGCCTTAAATCACAAAATTGAAATGTTACACTTTTAATCAATTTGCAATCAAATGAGAAGAAAAGCAACATGCTAATTTAACTTAATTTAAAGAAGGCAAGATTATATGCATTCTAGAACCCCCATCTGAAACTGTACCAAAGTCAAAGAGATCTTGGATTAAGAGAAATTAAAGCAAAGGAAGGGAAAGGAAGACAATACAGTAGTGACAAAAACCATAGTCTATGCTTTGAAAAGAAGGAGAAGCAGAATACTAAAATCAGACAAAAGGAAACAAAATGTCAGAGAGTAAACAGCCAAGCACATTCATTTTTCCAGCCACCTCCCAACAATCATAAATAAAAGTTAATAATATAATAATATAAACAAAGAAAGCAGAAAAAAATACTCTTCAAACTAGTGAAAGGTCTGCATAAGAACAGAAATGAAGTAGAAGCTTGGGAGCTATAAAAACTTAGTAAATAAGAAAAAATAAGTAAAGAGCACATTTCTAAGTAGGAATGACTTTTAAAGGAAAGAAAAAAATGATCAAAGGCTTCGCCATTGACTAAAGCCCATTTATTGGCTGGATAATTTATAAGATTCCATTTCCAAAGACTCCAAAAGACTAAGAGGCACAGGGAAGAAGAACTGTTTTTAAGTGCTTCTTCTCAGAAATATCTCTGAGGCATCCACTAGCCAAGGTCACAGTGAACTTTAAATACTTATGGAGATGCTTAAAATTGTGTATTTGTTTTCTGCAATTAATTATTAAAGAAATGATCAGAAATCTTTATATGAGATACGTACCGATCATTGCAGAAGCAATATATTTAGCATATTTTTAAAAGATAGAGACGTCTTACAGACATTCTTCGCAAATGTTGGCTGGAATGTTATATTATAAAAGGTATTCTCAAATCATTTTAAGGGAAGACAGATAGCTTGACACACGTTGAAGTATATCATTTAAATAATTATAACTGCCTTAATCACATTATAATTGCATTAATGTAATGTATAGTCATTACATTTGTAATGTAGTTATAGCTATGGCCATAACTTTGGAAAATTGGAGCACAGCTATTTCTTATAGAATAATTGGATCAATCATACTGCCTACATGGTTTTCACCATGTCTTTAAGAAATAATATTATACTTAAAATTGTTCTTGTTTTTTAAATGAAGGCACCTGTATAACCAGAAGACATAGTTCACTGCTTAGTAGGTCTAAATCAGGGGTCTCCAACCTTGGCAACTTTAAGACTTGTGGACTTCAACTCCCAGAATTCTCCCACAAGTCTTAAAGTTGCCAAGTTTCATCACCCCTGATCTAAGCTATTATTTCTATGAAAGATTCCCATGTTCTGATTTCTTCTCAGGAATGTTCAGGGCAGCTGTACCAAGCGGTGCCTCCACTGGCATCTATGAAGCTTTGGAACTGCGTGACAATGATAAATCCCGATTCCTTGGCAAAGGTAGGGGCATTAAAACTGGAATTACCAAACAATATGGAACAATTTTAGAGAACACTGGTTGTTTATGTCTACTTGTCTGTGTGTACACATAGACTGCCACTTGCTTTTGAAGTAGCAACAACAGCAGATGTTATGGTGTAAAATGTCTGCAAACCAAAATGACTCAGAAAAACTGATAGATTCACAATCTTTGTCTTTATTTTTTACTGCCTGTGTGTGACTCTGCCTCTTTTCCTTGTCTGTAGGGGTTCTGCAGGCAGTAGATCACATCAACAGCACTATTGCCCCTGCTCTTGTGAACTCTGTAAGTTGACCTTTAGTCTTAATCTTCTCATATTTTGCTTCTATGCCTGTTCTCTCTCCCTCCCTCCCTTGCACTTCCGTACAAGGATTTGGTAACAGTTCAGAAATCAGTTCTGAATTTCTGATTTCCCAAGATTTTGGTAGCACTGCAGGCACAATCTGATTCATTTTGGCTTGATGATGGTATAATTGAAACACTGCAGAACTGTGTATGATGGTGGTGGCTTGGCTTGGTTGATTTTTGAGAAACAGACACCTCGTTTTTCCATTAGAGGGAACTATTGCTTCATTTCTCCTCCTGAGCTTAGGATCGTGTAAGGGAAATACAGTTTCGCATTTTACTTTCAATAATTCAGGTGAATTGTGAAGCACGAATCTACTACTACTCTTTCTTTCTATTTCTTTCCTTTCTTTTTCTTTCCTTCCTTCTTCCTTTCTCTCTTGTAAAAGGTTTTATTTTGCTTCTGAACCTATAACTGGGAAGTAATGTTTCTCTTCATTTTTAGTTTTGCAAGCTGAGAGAAGCAGAGATATATGGATTGTATTCAAACAGTTTCTGTAGTTGTGGAGCATGAAAATGGTGACAGTTGGAAGTGCTTCCTTCCTCTCAGCCTCCCTTTCCCCTCATTTTATTTATTGACAATAAATAAAGACATAGGTATTATCAAAAGACAGAAATTCTTTTTTCAATGAAGTTCAATGAAACAGTGAATGCTACAGTACTACAGAACTAAATTTTTGGTGAAACTAAAGATAGTTTACCAGGTAGTTTTATCCAGATTTCTTCTATTAACAGATTAACTTTTCTTTCTTCAGGCCTTTTCGGTTGTAGAGCAAGAGAAGATAGACAACCTCATGCTGGAACTGGATGGCACAGAAAATAAATGTAAACCCAACTTTTTTCTTCATTAAAAAAATTGGGGGGAAGGTCATGAAGGGAGGGTGAAAGAGCAGCACAAACTAGTAAGACTAAGACTGAATAGCTAACGGTAGAGCAAGAGTGGGATACTCCTTTCGATTCACATTCAAAAGTCAACGGAGAACAAAATCATGATTAACTGAGAGAGGGAGGTTTCTGTTAACACAGCTCACAAAAGCCACTCCTTTTACATTGTATTCTTATGCTCCAGCAAGAAAGCAGATTGAGACGAGTAAACTAAAAAACATCCAAAAAGTAAAACAGGTGAAGGATTGGGACCAGCAAATACTAAACCCAGATTCTGAATGCAAGAGGGGCTTAAACAAGGCAACACAAACCGCTTCCTTAAATTCCTTTATTTTCATTTTTGAAAAAAATCTGTTTATTGGTATGGTAAACAGAGCACAAGATCACAAATATAAGGAGTCGACTGGATGAAAAAGCAACACTTATTTGAAGCTTATTTGAAGTCCCTTTGTCCCAAAAGACACAATTACATCAAATGTGTTCTTATTATCTATGCCACTTCCTACATTAATCTATTCTTTGTTGCTAAGGTTGAAGGCAAAACATTCATTTTTGTTTCTTATTTTATACTTCCTAAATACAAACATATACTGTATACTATTTTGGATTTGCTTTGACGTCATCCATTTTCCCATTTGACACTACACATCTTATCTGACAATAGCAGTTTCTGTGTGCAGCTCTCATCATGCCATGCAATGCTGAATATAATCTTGGTCCCAAAATAGATTCTTTCCCATGTTAGAGAATTAATGGGAAAAAGAATTCCAATCGAACTGAATGAGGCTGAATTCTAAATAGCGCCTCCTAGAATTGTTCTCCATTTTTTAAAATCTCTCACTCCTACATGAATCTCCCCAGTCTCCTTCACTGCAATATAAAATTCGAGTGAGCAAGGGAAATGTATGGAATTTTTCAAGTAAAATGGTGAAAGCTGAAACAAAAAAGATGAGAATGTGAAAAAAGATCAGATTAAACTAAGAAAGAAAATGATGAGTCAAAAAGAGAATAGCCCCTCCCACACACTAGAAACAATGATATCTATCTGTTGATTCTTTCCCTTCTTCCTTTGGGATTGATTTAGAGTGCAAAGCACTGCCACTGTCTTGCTAGTCTTTTCTCTGCAAAGAACAATGCAAATAATTTATGTTTGCATGAGATCAATAGAAACACATAACCAAACCCAGTAAGGCAACAGGGCAGACCAGTATAAAGCTGCTTTGCTAAATTGACTTCTTTCTTTCTCTCTCTCTCTCTCTCTCTCTCTCTCTCTCTCTCTGGATGCATGCTTTTGATGCTGGACTGGTCCTTATGGATTGTTTTCCTAGTAGTGCTTGGAGTGGATGTACTGTATTTTGGCAGGATCAAATGCAAAGGCCTATCAGAACTGGCTTTGGAGACACAGTGGCTCCAAATCAATACTGACTGGCTGTATGTTCTGTGTAGTTTAGAACAAATAAGCATACTCACAGGGGATGCACATAGCAGCAACAACCAGCTGAAGAGAGACCAGCAAAAATACATTTCAAGTATATGAGGGGAAACCCAGCGCACCAAAGGTGGACTTCAGCTGAAAAGCTCTGGACAGCGGAGAAGGGAAATGTTAGCCTCCCTCTCAAAAGAAAGGAACTGCTACTGTTTGCAGACTACTCTTGGGTAGGAAGCCCAATGGAAATTTTTGTGGCAAAATTAAAAGCAACCATCAAAGCCATGCAGGGAACCCCAGGCCAGATTAATAGCAGATGTTGTGGGGTACTGGATGCTGGTAAAATCTTTGGCTCAAAGATCTTTTGTTGCACTCTCTCATTATACTATATTCTAATCAATTTTGCAAAATTCACAGCTAAATTTGGAGCTAATGCCATTCTGGGTGTTTCCCTGGCTGTCTGCAAAGCTGCCGCTGCAGAGAAGGATGTACCCCTGTACCGTCATATTGCTGACTTGGCTGGAAATTCAGATCTCATTCTGCCAGTCCCTGTAAGAATCTGGTGATTTTTTCTTGATTTCACGCCCATAAAACTGAGGTATGGAGCAGAGAGTCAGGTAACAACAGATTGAACAAGGGTCCAGAAGAACTGGATTTTCCCCAATACACCATATACCTTTATAGTCCTTTGCATGCATGCTAGTTTTATATCCATATTAAATATACTGTAGGAACTTTCAAATCTTATCTTTAGGGTTAGGGTTATAAACATGGTATTTTAGTTCTTCTAACACAATGTTCTTAGCCTCTTTATTCAATCACAGTAGCTAGGATATTTACAGATGAAAGAAATCATTATGATTAAAACAATTTCAGACCATCATTTACAACTCTTGTATGGTGCTTTAAGATATGTTACTGAAGAGCCCCTCTTCTTGTTCTTGTTGCAAAATTCTTCCAGGCTTTTAATGTGATCAATGGAGGGTCCCATGCTGGAAATAAACTGGCCATGCAAGAGTTTATGATTTTGCCTGTTGGGGCTGAAAGCTTCCGGGATGCTATGCGCATTGGTGCTGAAGTCTATCATAATCTCAAGAGTGTCATCAAAGACAAGTATGGTAAAGATGCTACCAATGTAGGAGATGAAGGGGGCTTTGCCCCAAACATCCTGGAGAACAGTGAAGGTGAGCGGGGGAAAAGGACAACACTAAGAGATGCTGTATTTTGAAAGAGAACATCTCACTTAGAAGGGATGTTCTAAATTCTTGAAGACATATTCCCTTCCAAAATAACCTGCCTCCATTTCTACCTCTCAGCTTTAGAGCTGCTCAAGGAAGCCATTGAGAAAGCTGGTTATACTGATAAGATTGTGATTGGCATGGATGTGGCTGCATCAGAGTTCTACAGAGATGGCAAATATGACTTGGACTTCAAATCCCCTGATGATCCCAGCCGTTACATCTCTGCTGATGAACTGGGTGACCTCTATCAGAGCTTTGTACGGGACTATCCAGGTGAGTGACTACATATGGTCAAAGCCTCACTACTGAAGCTACAGACACTGAGACTTCCTCTATTTGCAGTCTGGGGCGCATTGTAAATTTCTCGTTTCCTTTTGTTTTTGCAGTGGTATCCATTGAGGATCCTTTTGATCAGGATGACTGGGAAGCCTGGTCAAAGTTCACGGCTAATGTAGGGATTCAGATAGTGGGAGATGACTTGACAGTGACCAACCCCAAACGCATTGAGCACGCAGTTGAGGAGAAGGCCTGCAACTGTCTACTGCTTAAAGTCAACCAGATTGGATCGGTCACTGAAGCTATTCAAGCGTGAGTTGTCTTAAGCCACTCCATTCTCCAACAGCCACTGTGCTATCAAGTACCCATTCACAGTTCCAAAGTTTATCTTCAGGAGGCAAATCCACTAAGTTTATGATATTCACTTACAGTTGTAAACTGGCTCAAGAGAATGGCTGGGGGGTGATGGTGAGTCATCGATCAGGGGAGACTGAAGACACCTTCATTGCTGACCTGGTGGTGGGACTCTGTACTGGGCAGGTAGGTTCTAACTAGTGGAAATCACATATTGTCTCCTTTTGGAGAGAAGCTGGCAAGAGCTAGAAAATTGCCACTCTTGAGAGAGAATCTTAATAGACAGAATTGATTTGGTGTCTGATACAAATGAGCATTGTGGAAGAAAAATGTACAAAAGTGTTTAAAAAGTGTAGACATTTCAATAAATCAGATTAAAAACTTTCAGTCACTCTAATAACCAAGAAGACAGTATATATAAATGGGAATGTTGGGTACTTAAATACAGTCCCAGCAGAACTGGGACCAAAATCAGATGGAATATAGAACATATTGCTGTGACACAACAGCTAGGGTAATCTTTATTCTTTCTTCCAATGTTTTCCATACCCACAACACTGTGTGGTAGCTTGAGCAGAAAGAGAGAGTGATCAGCCTAAAGTCATACACTGAGATTTCAGGGCTGAGTGTAAGCTTGAACCTGGTCCTTCTTAGTCCTAATTTAGCATGTTAAACACTGTTTCCTTTCGTCCAAAAGAAAAGAGTGATGATGTGGGTAAAGTAAAAAAACTGGGACAGAATAAACAGTTCCATGAGGAGGCTGTTCTTTGGGTCTTGAAACCTGGGGAGGTTTCCAGAAAAAGTGATAGACGATGAAAAGGGCAGGAACATGGCAGCAAATGGGCTTGGGGTCAGCGTAGGAGTAGCAGGGGGTTGGACTAGAAGATCTCCAAGGCCCCTTCCATTATTCTATGATTAGTGCCAGTAACCTCAACATCTTCCTCTAAAGAAATACAGAAACATGTCAGCTAAGTACACTGTGCAGTGAAGATCCAGTTGCTCCCACCTCTAAAATATTCTGACAAGCCTCTAGGCATTGAACTTGTGTGGAGTGAGAAAGTGATCCATTTGCTTCCAGCTGACAGTTAACAAGCTTGGGGCAGAATGTGGAAGCAGAGAAAAATAAACAGGCAAGGTTCTGGTAACAAAAGAATGGGCTCTTTCTTCTCCCCCCTCCCCCCTCTTTTAAGCAAACTTTTGCAAAGATTGTGCAGTTAGCAAAAAACAAAGTTTACTTTAAGGTTTATTCCTCATCTCATACACCTTTGATATCATGACAGAGCTCAGATAAGCACAAAAGATGTTTATTCTTGGTGGGCTGCCTTTGCCTATAATTGACATGTTTGTGTGAATCTCCATAAAATATTACTGAATTGACGCTGACCTTTGCAGATAAAAACCGGAGCTCCGTGTAGATCTGAGCGTCTGGCAAAATATAATCAGCTAATGAGGTAAGAAATGTGACGGAAGTAAGGTGGATATGCCTGTGTGTGAGAAAAGAGAGCGAGTGAGTTTGGAGGAGATAGGAATATCAACCTGCATATCTTTCAGTAGAGGTCTGTCCTGCTGGATTGGACTAATATAACAAAGGAGAACTTTGGTTGCTAGAGATTCATTGGATCCTGTTGCTACTGCACAGCAATGCAAGCACGAACACAGCACTAGAGCATACATCTGTTCTGGTGATTGACAACATCATCAAAACAGCTTGGCATCCTCAATGTTACCTTTGTCTACACATAATGCTGGCCTTGCTTTTGGCCCAGGCCATCACGACAGCAGATTTATCCTGTTATTTCTTGATTGCGGCAGACAGCTGCCAAATACAGAGAGTAACAAGGAGTATAGGTCCTTATGTTGCAGGTCTTTCAGGTATCTGAACAAAGACTGAGTTCTTCTAAGAATCATTCTGAAGGCAGGCTTATGATGGAAACAGCAGGGAATCTCTTTCAGTTGTTATTCTAGGCCAAATTCTTAGGGGCCTCCAGAGGGAAGTCTTCTATAGTACCCAACAAAACATCCTGCACATCTGTTTTTCTCTCCTTACTACATTTTTTTATGGAAAATGAAATTTGTCAGTGGAAATCATATGCCCTTTAAGGACCAGCCCATGGAAAGGCAAGTGGTTAATGCTTGTATTTCTGGCACAGGTAGTGGGGATAAAGAAGCAGGAGAATCTACTAATAGGAAGTCATAGTCTGGGCAGAACACCATAGCTGAGCAGAACACCATGACTAAAGCAGAAGAAGAGGCTACAGCCCAGAAATACATTTTTAAGCCAACTTCATTACAGCCAGTTTATGAACCAGAGTCCAGGGAGTTAAGGTCACAGTCCAGAAAAACTGATAGTCATGAAATAAAGGTTTGGAACAATAATTAATTTCCCAAGAATTATTATTTTGTCAAAATCATACCAAGAGCATAGCACAAAATCAGGAGCTCCAAATAAAACCAAGAAATAGCCAAGGATCTGCAGACCTGTCTAACTATAGCTAAAACTGCTGTTCTTGATTTCATCATGGAAAGAGACCCGAGATGAAATGAGCTTCATTGAAGAATAGCAACATCAGCAAACTGAACTGGAGGATCAAAATAGGCAAGATGGCACTTGCAACATTGGCTGAAACTCCTCTCTTTGTACATGCATACAAAAGAGACAGAGCTTGGACTGTGATGCCACAACTGCTTTCTTGCTTATCTTAACCCCCAATGGATGTCTCAGAGCAAGGTGAAAGCCATTGCCTGTTATGAACATTGATGCTTGTGGAGGCATGTTCTATGGACAGATGAGTTTAAAGGGAAACTCTTTTAAGTAGCAAAGCTGTCAGTATATCTGGTGGCAACTGAATATTCTATTACAAGCTGGCAACCTTTCCTGACAGTGAGAACAATTAATCAGGGGAACACTTGCCTTCAGAAGTTGTGGGTACTCCATCACAGGAGGTTTTCAAGAAGAGATTGGATAGCCATTTGTCTCCTGCCTGAGGAGGGGGTTCTGTTATTCAGTTAGAACTTTGGACCAATCATGAAGCATGATAACAGTAGTAGTTTGAAGATTTTGTTACTTCAGAACCTGAATTACTGATGAAAACATTCTGCTTTGTATCAGAGAAGGATATCAGATGATCTGTCTATCAACTGAAGCTGAGATGAAAGTAGATGTTTAGCATCACTGAAAATGATACTATAGTAGAGAGCTTGATAACACTGCAGGACAGAGATGTCAAATATACAGTACTAACAAGTCAGCAAGAGAGTACATGAAAAAGAGCAAATTCATGTTTTGGGATAACCAAACCAAAGTCCATAGCTAAACCCCACTGAAATATTAGGGCACGGTGCCTACGATGAGCTATTAAAATGCTATAAAATGCTACAAAAAACCCCAATGTGACTGACACGTAGCAATGCACATGACACATTTTCCCATTGGAACTGTATCTTCCTCAGAAAGAGCCATTTAGAGCTTTGAATGTAAAGCCAGGAGCTGAATGAAAATGGTTCCAGGTCATAGCCTGTACTTTTATAGTACACTGTCATTCATTGGGTTCCACAGAAGGAAGTGTTCTGACCTTAAATTTCATGTGAAATTAACTTTTGGGGGATTATGTCTAGTACATGTGGCTGATACCCATAATATACTCCATTAACTATCTGTCTGCATTCCATAGGATTGAGGAAGAACTTGGTGATGAAGCTCGCTTTGCTGGGCACAACTTCCGTAACCCAAGTGTCCTATAAACGCATCCTGGCATACTCTGGCCATGCCTGCTATTTCAGTGCACAGACTCTGAGTGCCCATTAGATCACATCTTCCATCGTCCTTGTTCCACACTCTCCTGCTCCTGGTCTTCTCAGACCCACTCACTGGAATTGCCCAGGATATGCAAAGACTGACGCTTCCTTTTGCCTGTCATGATGCAATGCTGCAAGTCAGCTTTGTCTATGTTGCGCAGTGTCTGCTGTTTAGACCTGCTTGAGTCATCGTTATACCCAAGTACAAAATGATGTCAGCATGTTTGCCCTGGTGTTTGGCCAGTATTTTGCACATTTGAAGATTGTCTTTAAATTGGAGTCCAGATTGTATTTGCTTATTGATACAAGATGGTGTTTTTGTGTTTTTGTCCCTTGCAATATCAGCATCTATGTTTTGATCCCTGTGAGTTGTGTTTAAACTTGTGTGTTGCATATTGTTAGTAACTGGTTGCTTCATTTGTATGTGTGACAGGGAGAGTGGGGGGGAGAGAAAAGAAATTTAAGTGAGAGAATATATGTTCTTACCAGCCACAAAATACAATTTAATTCCAAGCATTGTGTGTGTGTGTGTGTGTGTGTGTGTGTGTGTGTGTGTGTGTGTGTAGGTTAGTAGTTAGTATGCATCTGCATCTGGGGTTAGGCGCCCATTGATCCAAAGGTTGAATTGCTGTAGATTTTTTTTCTGAATGTGAAGGGCAAGATGTCTGGTATGATACACTGGATTGGTGTGCCATGTTTTGTACGGTGCTGTGGGTAGTGCATCGTGGACATGTTCTTGCAATCAGCACTTTGCTCTGATCTCTCTCCCTCTCATTGCTGCCTGGATGTTTGGTCACATTTTACACTCTGCCTCTTCACCCATTTTCCTCTTGCTCTGCTATCATTTCTGCTTTAAGCCACAGAGGTTTCACATTCAACTGCCTCCTCACCAATAAACAAACAACAGAAGAAAAAAGAGAAGAAAAACCAACATCCAGAAAAATAACCAACAAGTAAAACCTCAATTCAATTAAATTGTTTCAAACCTGCATGTTCTGCCTTTGCTTGTATATCTGTTATTTATTAGGGAAACTGGAAATACTCTAAAAATGGGTGAAATACTCTAGAAGGGATGTGAGCTTCACAGTTTCCAGAAGTCTCAAGACACAAATATTCAAGTTGGAGCTTGTTGGCAATACAAGTGGAGCTAGTGGGACCAGCTGAGGAAGGTTGGTCATAAGGAGAACCTGCCTGTACCTGTGCTTTAAAGATAGATCCTGCTAAAATAATGCCAAAATATGCAGGGCAAATAAGTGAGTTCTCACTAAGCCAAAGAGAAAATATTCCCCTATTATTGCTTTCCCTAGAGATCCTGAAAAGAAGGACCTCCTGATATGATGCCGGCTTTAAAAAAAAGGGGGACCAATTCATGGAAGTTATAAGGGGGTCAATGACTGTCAGCCTTAATAGCATCATGACTCCTGCTGAGAAACTGCTGAGGCTTCCTTGTGAATGTGGTTGGCCCACTCTGGTAACAAATTGATGGCCTAGATGGGCGAGGGGGCTGATCCAGCAGGGTCCTGCTTATGTTTCTTATAATAGTAACTTATATCACAAGGCCTTGAGACCTTGAGGGATAAACATAGCCTAAGGAAGTTGGGAGAGTTGGAATTATTAAAAAGAAAACGTCCATTTCTGGGCCTGCTAGGGCTATTGATCTTTATCACTCAATGCCACTTAAAGCCCAGAGCTCAAATCAAGTGTTTGGGAGCAGATCACAAATTGAATTTGCTTTAAACATTTCTATGAGTGTACTTCAATACTGCCCTTCAGAATTACAAATGATGGCTATTTTGAGCTTAGTCAAGACAAAATCCAGCATTAAATATAGTATGTTCCTGCCTTAAAATGTATTTAAATTTTTTTAGTCCTTCCCTTAAAATACCTAAACAACAGGCCATAATTTTAAAAGATGGTGGTGTCAGGAGACCAAGAAATGGTCTCTTTCTTTTTAGTACTTTCAGAGCTCTCAGCATCTTTAGGGACTTGATAATTTATTTCAATTTTCTCTTGGTGACTTTGAACTTCATTTTTGGAAATGGCAGGTGGTATATGGTGGTGGTGCAATCACTTTTGGTTGCCTTTCCATTCCTTGGAAGTTTCCCTGGCTGCCCATATGTCCCAACTGGAAAGAGCCCTGGAGAAGATCTCCAGTGAGACTGTCTCCTTGGGATTTAACTAAAGTGAAACAAGCTAGAGAAACTCAAAATGTTGGACAGATGATTACACATAGAAGGAAGAAGATGACACATCCTGCAGAGATATAATCTGATAAATGGAGGAAGAAACACTCCAGTACAAGCATTTAACTCAATTTCTCTTCTTGAAATTGATTTCTGAAGAAAGTTTTGCCATCAGATTGAATGAAAATTGGTAGAAAATATGCAGAACCTTTTTGCCCAGCATTAAATTTAATTTAGCTCTATTTTTAAATAGCTTTATTAAATGTGAAAGCATTTTGTTATTTTTTATCATTCTAGAAAAATATGCAGATTTTTTCTGCCCAACACTAACATTAATATGACTCCATTTTAAAAATAGAAACATTATTAAATGTGAAAACATTTTGTTGATCTGCATCATTCTTTTTTATGTATCTTAAGCATCTACCAAGCAATCTGCAGAAAGAGATAAATAAAAGATTCCTCAAAATGTCTTCTCTCCAATAGACTCTTAAGCCGAGAGTTGTTGCTTAGGAACAAAGCTGGCCTTGCAATTTTTTTCAAGATCTCTTTTGCCCAGAATAGCTTGCAATTCTGTCATTTTTGTGGATGTGATTATTTGTAAAGAAAAGACCAATAGCCAATGTGTTTGATCTGATATTGTTAAGCCACATTTATTATATTTCAGTGAGTAGACACTTCTTTAAAAAAACTGCCTTTGTTGGGTTGAACATATTCTATTTCTAGACTGACTACAGATTTGGAACTAGTTGCTCCAAAGTATAGATAAGAACCTTACTTATTTTTTGCCAGTAGAAGTATAGGCAGTATATTGAACAATATGCAGTTAAACACAAAGAAACTCAAATTTGGGTCCCAGCACTACAACAGAATGGAAGGTTGGAACCATCTATAGGAAAGCAATGAAAATGTGCAAATGAAGATCAGGAATTGGAGATAAAGGTTCAAATAAGATCTGAAACCAGGCTCAGGGATTACAGACCAGGAAATATGAAATAAACCCTTTAGGTCAGGGGTCACCTACCTTTTGGATCTCAGGAACCACCAAACTCATAATTTTAAATCCCGTGGACCACTAATATGAATTTTGACTGACAGTGGCTTGCTGACGTTGGTGGAAAATTCGGTCCCATATTCCAGAGCTGCAGTAGTCACAGGACTGGCCTTTTGGTCATCCCGGAGCAGCTGCTCCTCCACCCGGGTGCACCGGCCTGCCATGGACTGGAGGAGCTGCTCTGGGGTGACCAAGGGGCCAGTCTTGTGACTACTGCAGCTCTGGAATATGGGATTGACTTTCCCACCAACATCAGCAAGCCACCCTGCGGCAGATTTCCCTCCCCGACCATTGGTGTTACCTTCTAGTTCCAGCTTGCGTGGCTCTACTCAAGGTAAGGTTTGCACTTGGCCAAAGGGTGGGGGCCAGCGGGTGGGCGGGCCATGTCAGTGGAGCACCTTGTGTTCCCATGCAGCCTGGATTAATTGCTTTGGGGGGAGTGCTTTGGATGGGACATTTATCTGCGGACCACCAAAATTTTCTCGCGGACCACCAGTGGTCCCTGGCCCACCAGTTGGCAACCACTACTTTAGGTCAAGGCCAAGTGGAATTGAAGGCAGTAGGTTGTTTGCATAGGAAAAAATGACAGCAAAGACATTCTGGAGCCCAGTAAAATAATACTAGAATGGTCTTCCTTTCATGTTTTATAACTTCAAGGAACAGTATAAGCAAACAGGAAAAGACCCTCCAAACTGGATTTCAGTGAGTACTTTGAGAAAACAATCAAGAATGAACTACAGTATCCATAGTCCATAGCTAACATTACATTTCATTACAATTACAGGATATAAATTGTACTTTTCTAAATGCTTTAGAGAGGTTTATAATAATAATCTCTCTCTATATAAAAGCGAAATACCACTCATGCATCATCACAAAATCTCCAGAACAATAAAGCCTACAAACTTGAAATTTGGCACGTATGTTCCTCTTGGCTTCTAGGTGCTCACTAAGAAAGGATTTTTCGAAATGACCATCAGAGCATTAACATTTCATATATTATTATTAACATACTCTGAGTTCTACTCCCCCTCCCCACCTGAAAAGAAATTTGTACCAAATGCAAAACACAAGCAGAGGAGAGGAGTTTCAGTTTCAGTTTCAGGGCAGCACCAGCTTTAGTACAGAATAGTTGAGCTAAGTCACCCCAGGCTCCTTGCTGTCTCCTTCTTGCTCACACAGCAAATACTGTTTCAGTTTCCAAACAGCCCTCAACTCTCTCACACACTGACAGGACCCTAGCCAGATGAATACCGATGGATGCTTGCTGGTAGGCAAAGGCATAAATTTTCCCCCCTTATTTTCCTCCCCAAAAACTAAGCCCGATTACATAGTTTTGTAGCAAAGCACGGGTATACAGCTAGTACAGAGATAAATGCTACAATCTCTAAGTGCGTGTACTTTGTTGAAAGTATTTGAAAAGAGTATGACAATTACCTCCAAATTTTTCACAATGAATCCTGCTGTCGGTTTCTTGGCTAATATTATCTAATGTGTATAAAATGGATGGGAATAGGATATAATAAAATAGAAACAGTTCTTACTCTTAGATGTTAAATAATATTACTAAACTTCAAAACATTTTTTAACAATCTTTTTTTGGATCTGTGATATTCAGGTATTGTAATGGGAAACTGCACTGTGAGAAAAAAATAACTAAGTACTAAACTCCTAAGTACTAAACTCCAAATCTAGTCAACCTATATTAATAATAATTTTCTAATGAATTACTCTTGTTTGGATAAACATTCTTTTGGTTATATTATGGATTATATGGATTATGGATGATTGTGGATTACTCCTCAAGATTACAAATTATATATACTTAAAATAATCTTACACATAATCTCATGTCTTTCTATTGTTAATCTGTTGGTATAAGTGCTGGATTTTACTTTTGTAAATATTTTTTTAAATTGTATTTTATTATAACTTTTTTGAGAAAGGATTCATTGGTATGGGCAGTTTACATATTCAATTTTAGGCAATGCTGACCATATTCTAGTATATTTTATTAACCCTATTGACAATAAATGTTACTAGAAAAGACTTTTATTAATACCTTCTTTAAAATCCCTAATACTTCAAAAATATTAATAATTTTGCATTATAGTTTGCCTTCTCCCATCCTTGAATATAAATAGATACTGATCCACCAACAACTTTCTGTGCAGAAAATCAGAATTATCTAATTAGGTACTATTACACT